CGGGCCCCAGAACAGCTTCCTGGAGGTGATAGCGGCCGCGCTGCTGCTGCCGCCTTCGTCGCCCCCCGGACCCCCCCAAGAGGAGCTGGAACTGGAAAGCCCCCAGGCCCCGGGAGAGGGGCGTCACGAGCTGGTTCAGTGGCTTCTGGGCCAGGCAGACACCATGGCTGCTTTTTGCCACAGCCTCCCGGCCGGGCTTTTAACTTCAGTGGTGGGTCGCCACCCGGAGCTCGTCCAGGTCTACCTGGGTCTGCTGACCGACTGGGGCCGACGGCTGCACTACGATCTCCAGAAGGGCGTGTGGGTTGGCGCTGAGGCCCGAGAGGGGCCCTGGGAGGAGTTGTACAGCCGGTTTCAGAGCCTCTGTCAGGCCCCCTCGCCCCTGAAAGATGAAGCTCTACGTGCCCTGGAGACTTGTAAGGCACAGGATGGAGGTTTCGAAGCCCCTGGCCTTAGCATCTGGACAGACCTGTTGTTAGCTCTTGGGAGCGGTGCGTGATGCTGCATTTGGGAAAAGACAAGGTCTAGGTCTCAGCCCAAGCCCAGTTCTATATGGGCAGCATTCTCTATTGACTACTTGAATATATGGTTTACAAAATTAAAATTTCAGTGTTGCCACCAAATCTATACTCTTATGTGTCCAAAATACATTTTAGGTACTAACTTTTAATAGGTGTAATTATAATATATGAAAGATTGGTGTGTGGTACCATGGATTTTCTGGGTAGAGGAGATGACGTTGGAAATATCCTATTTAAAGCCATGCAATTAACAGTAGTTTAGAAGGACCATTTCTAAGAATGCTGAAAAGATAGTACTTCGCCCTGGCCTGTGGCTCAGTTGGTTGAAGGTCGTCTCGTGTACCAAAAGGTTGCAGGTTCCATTCCGGATCCGGGCACATACTTAGGCTGCAGGTTTGATCCCTGTCAGTATGGGAAACATCAATGTTTCTCCCTCTCAAAAAAAGGCAATAAAAACAAAACATATCCTCAGGTAAGAATAAAAAAAACACACGTAGTTTTCAAAGAAAAAACAGTTTTTGAACTCCCCAGTACTGAAGACTTTTCTTTGTGTTGTCAGATATGGTAACTCACATTCTAATTTCTGTCCTCAATACTATGAAATAACTCTTGTCAAGGTCACAATTATTTCCATGATGCCAAATGCAAAGGAACATTTTTCTTGTATCAAACTACTAGACTTTCCTGCAACTTTAGACATTTTGACCCCTCCCTTTTATTGAAACTAGGCTTGAAATTCTATTCTCAAAACCTATGTGATGCTACTTTATCCTGGTTTCCTCCTACGTTTCTAGCTACTTTTTCTCAATTTAATTTTCTGGCTAATTTCTCCCCTAATCAACCTTTCCTGGGATTTCTCAGAATTTAATAGTCTGGTTCCCATGTGTTCTCATCCATTTAAATACTATCTATGTGCACAATTTATATCTCCAGCCCAGAGTTCTCATCAGAGCTTCATGACCAATATCCCCATATACAGTAGGTCCTCGGGTTACGTCGGAGATCCGTTCCTGTGGCGCGACATGACATGATTTTCGCTGTAAGTCTGTACCCACCTACATAAGCACCTATGCCACTCACATGGAGCACATTCACAGCAGTAATGAAGTGAAACAGTAAAAAGAAAATCAAAACAAAGATAACAATTCCTGACCTTTACTTGTGGTAAATAAATAATAAACATAAAGCACATATATACATATGTCGAAATGACAGAACTTTTTCTTTTTATAAATAAATGGGAGATAGCGACATAACCATGAAATGACATACGTGGGAGTTGGACGAAACCCGAGGACTGTCTGTAAATGTCTCATAAGCCACTCAACCAAACATATCCAAAACAGAAATCTTTACCCCCCTTATAAGCCTGCTTATTCCCATGTATTTCTCAATAAATAGAAACTGGGAATTACCTTCAAATATTCCCTCTTTTCTAACCCTCACATTCCTTCCATCAGTATATTTTTCCTTATCTCCATTTTTACTCATCCCCCTAGCGTAGGCTAGGATGACCATAAATTATTGCTTGCTCAGGACAGGTTTGAGTTATGCCTGTTGTCCTGGCATAATTAATACAAGGGTCCCCTTTTATTCTCTAAAGTTTCCTGGTCTGGCTGATAATTTATATGGTCATTCATCCATCATATCTCAGCCAGATCACTGCAGTTAGCTGGTTTCTATACTTCCTTTACTGCACCTCTACAATCTGTCTCCACCTAACAGCTCAAGTAGTGGACTCCCATATTCACTGAGAAATTTGAAGTAATTGGAAGAGAACTTAAGCAGACGTCTACTACTACATCTATCTATACTAATATACCCACATAATTCATCTTCTGTTTTTAGTGATAAGGAATTCCATACTAAGCCAATTTCTATAGACTTCAAAATAAAGGTCTTCTTTCAGTTCTTGGAATAGGCTGAGCTTTTTTCTGTCTTAGAGCCTTTACTTTCATTATTCCTTAGCCAAGAATGTTATCACCCAGGTCCTTCACTGCTCACTTTAATTTCATTTCTCACCATAATGCCTCTATCTATATCACACTCTGTTGTTTTCCTTCAGACCACCCATTTTCCCATTAATTGTATCCCATATTAGTGTTGATGTGTGTCTGTCTTTTCCATTAGAGTGTAAGCTCAGTGAGGACAAGACTGACTGTGCTGCTTGAACATCCAAGGCCCTCACATTAGAAACGGAGCAAACAAAATAAAAGAAATAGGAATGGAGGAAACATTTGATTACAACAATACCCTTAGAGTTATAGCTTTAAAAATGCAAGTCATTTTAGTAGCAGATACAAAGAGTATAAATCCATACCAAAGTAGGGTCCCCAATATATGGTAACATTTCTAAGCTACAAACAATTTGAAAAATTTTCCAACACTTCTTTGTTAGAATTTGAGTTTGAGCAACATTTACCAATGTAAAGATTACTTGCTGTGGTTAAACTGTCCAATTTTACTTGATCTTTATAGCTTTTATATTTATATTTTGAGCTCTGAAACAGTATACCAAAGCTCTAAAATAGTAACCAGTTATAAATAGAATGGTCCATCTTCCCTAGCAAATTATGGATATAGAGTATTCGTATTAACATAAATTAGTTAATGTAAATGCTTCAGGAAGAAATCATTGATTTCTCTCAGGAATTAATTGGAAATGATCAATCACTATATTAGAAGTGTGGCAGTAGCATCATTTATCAGATACTAATTGCCATAGTGGGCTAAGAATGCCCTTTTGGCTTAGAAATATGGTGGCCCTAAGGGAAAGTAGCTTGAATGATGATAGTAATTAATGTGTATACAACTGTCTCTTGAAGTTTCATTACTCTTAATATTGGGATAAAGGTTTGGGTTCAAAAGAGCTTTGGTGTTTTAAAGTCTATTGTGATTTTATCGTTTTATCTCATAAATGATCAGGATTTAATCTTAAAAATTTGTATATGCAGAAATTCAGACGTATAGGGATAGGGATATAAAATGTGAATAATCAGTTTATATTTTATATGTACACATATTCTACAAATAGTATTATCATGCTGTGAATGAAGTCTATGTATGATACTCTCAATGTTAGGGATTTATTTGAAATATGGTTTTACTCATTACTGTTTAAAATATTTTTATTCTAAAAGTTCTAAAAAATTGTATGTTAATCACTACAAAGGCTCATTTTATATCTAACTGTTCAGTTTTATATTTGTATTGCAAGTTTTTACTCATTTATTTAATAAGCATTGATCACCTACTAATATGTCAGACTATAATTTCATGCTCTAAAACTTTTAAAAACCAATTTATTTAGCTTATATATTTTTATGTTATGAACCAAATTTTTTATTTATTAAAAGAAGCCATATCTGAAAAGCAATATGTGAGGCATAAATATTTGTGTAGCTCAATATTGGATATTTTACCCTCCATAATTGTATATATCTCTATAGGATAGCTATTGAAATACCATGCATCTGACACATTACCAATACTTATTTGGTAAGATATTCTGTTTGAGGCTATGCATATATTTATGAGCATTGACAATATGCCAGAGTGGAATACGAAAATAGCATACTGTTAACGCTCACTGACTGTAGATGTGCCCAGGGACAAAATTGGTAAAAGTTCTTTGCTAATCTAAGACATGTTACACACCTTAAGAATATTAACTGAATTAAAATCCACAATGAATGTTTATATCAAATTTCAAATAATATACACTAACAAACTATCAAAATAAAGAATAGCAAAAATAATGCAGATTATAAATGATTTTATAGTCTCGTTTAGAGATGAGATTTCATAATTTTGTAATATATAAATATTCTTGGCAGAAAGGATGTATGTTTTCTATGTATGTTTTCAGCATAGGGTCCATCAACCTTTAGAGCTCAAAAGATGAAAATCCACTTTTGCAATCTTTGATAATTTTCAAAAATATTTAGTATTTTACATAAACATTAATAGCTAGGAGTGAGGATGAGGTTGGAGGCACACATTCACTAGTCTGTTTTTTCATTAAGCGTAAAAACATGTGTTCCTGACACTGCTGGTTTGAAACTGTTGTTGGAAACATAAAATAAATTACAAGGGACTAACGAGAGCAATTTATAGAAGATACATGATCTAGTTCACTAGTCAGCAGGCATGGGTTGCATATGGAATTATTATAGTAACCAAAACTAATGGAGAGCAGGCTCCATTTTCTAATTATAGCTGGAAGCACTGGACCCTGTGCACTACACCAGTAAATTGGCCCCAGTAGATTCAAAATGATTTCGCTGTTTGTTATTATAAACCTTAGCTAAGGCAGGATATTTGAAGAATATGGTTTCTGCAATTTGTTAAATGTATTATACCCATTTTTATAGTCTAGTTCTGTGAATGTGATATTACAATTACTATTACAATATTACAATTAAAAGACATAACTCCATTTAAGAGTTAAAGATTTAAAAAACTGATTTTTTTTAATGGTGGGGGGTACTGAAGTGTAATGGAGGAGACAAAAAGGGGGAAATAAAAGCCTTGTTAATTGACAACCTTTGATAAACTCTTATCATTATTTTAAGCTTCCATGTTCTCATTTATACATTTGGGATAATCATAATTATATCTTCCTTTAGTAAAACAAGTAATATCATGAATATTCAAGAACTTATTTTAGTCATTCATTAGGGTGTGACATTCTCCTAAATTTCCTTCATCAGGGAGTGTCTTGATTTTTCCCTTCATTCCTGAAGAATAATAAAGCTAGATAAAGAATTTGAGGCTGATATGTGTGTGTGTGTGTTTTAATTCAGCATTTTAAAATGGGACATTTCCTTCTGGCATCCATGGTTTACGATGACCAATATGTCATTTGAGTAGGTTTTTCCCCTATAGGTAAAATGTCATTTCTCTCTTTCTTCTTTAAGTTTTTTATTTCTTTGTCTACAGTTTTCAGAACTTTGATTATGATGTATGATGGTATAGATTTCCTTAGGTTTATCCCATTTTGGATTTGATCAGCTTCTTGAATCTATAGGCTATGTCTTTGGCCAAATTTGGAAAAATTTCAGCCATTATTTCTTGGAATATTTTTCAGCCCCACTCATTTT